TAAGGGAGAGGGGGAGGGGGATAATTAGTCTACAAATATGTTTATATTAAACCAAACAAACGTATGTTTTCAATCTTTCATTGTTTGTCCTTCTATATATAGAGAGAATGGGGAGGCGGGTGGCCTGGTGGGGTTCAGAGAGGAGAGAGCTCTATCTACAGGCAAAAGTGTTTTTTTTTTTTTTTGTGTGGAATTTCTTGACTTCTCTTAATGCGTCCTTTGCTACCAATACAAAATTGTGGAGGTGTTTTTTTTTTTTTTTTTTTTTTTTTGGTTCTCGTGGAGAAATGGAATGTTGCCTAGTTTTGTCCGAAGGTAGTTTTGTGGTGATGGTAATGGTGGCCTGGGAGTTGGTGATGGAGAAATATTAGGTGGAAGATCTAAAGAGTAACGGTATTTTGAAAGTTGGACAATGCTTTGTTGGCGATCTACAAGTTCTTGTATGTGGTTAACGGATTTCAAAAGTGAATTAGGAAATTGTGGAGGAGTTTTATGCTAATAGGGGATAACACTAAAAACATTAGAGAGAGAGTTAGTTCTTTCCCCTCTCTATAGAGGCCCTGTGTTGTCTGCTATCAAGAGGATTTGGGTGGGTGGATGGGGGGATAATTTTTTCTCCAGGGCCGTTCCATTAAAAATAGGGGTCATGTCCAATAGTTTAATATGAACCTTCATCTTTTTTCTTCTTTTTTTTTTCTTTTTTGTTTGTTCCGAGATGCAATCTAAATATAATAGAGTAAACTGCACAGACAAAGACAATAATATTGAGACAAGAACATAGGGGGAGAGAGAGAATTTTTAAATATTTAAATTTCGCTATAGTGATAGAGATTTCTATTTATAAATGTAAGAAACATGACCTCAAAAGACCTTAAAAGATAGAGATAGAAGTCTAGAAGATATAGAAAATCTCCTGAGATAATTGAGTTCAAATCTATTTGGACTCCAAGTTATTATATTCTAAAACAAAAATAAAAATGCAATTAAATTTTTTTGTCCAAATATATTGCATAAAAAATTAAAAAAGAAATAATACAATTCAAAAGTTAATATAAAAGTGCAATTTTTTTGATCATATTTAAATACAAAATTATTCACCAAAATTTTGATTTCATATTTAAATACAAAATTTTTCACCAAATTTCGATGTCAATTGCTTCTAATATTTTATTTTCAATTACAATTAAGACCAATCTATAAATTAAAAAATAATTATTAGTATAAAAAATAATAGATTATATCTAAAATATTTTTTAACAAAATTGAACCCCCAAAAATTGGGGGCCTTGTGCGGTGGCAAAACATGGCAGGGATCGGCCCTATTTTTTCCCCTCCTAGTGGAGAAGGGGAATGTTGTCTTTGCTACCAATACGCCAGTGTGGAGGTGTTTTTATTTTTATTATTATTTTTTTTTGTTTCCTGGTGGAGAAATGTAATGTTGCCATTTTTGTCCGAAGGTAGTTTTGTGGTGATAGAGAAATATTAAGTGGAAGATCTAAAGAGTAATGGTATTTTGAAAGTTGGAAAATGTTTGTTGGCGATGGATCTATATATAAATTCTTGTATGTGGTTCAGGGATTTCAAAAGTGAATTAGGGAATTGTGGAGGAGTTTTATGCTAACAGAGGCTGACTCAAGAAACAATGGAGATGACTAAAAACTTAAGAGAGAGAGTTAGTTCTTTCCCCTCTATATAGGCTTTTTTTTCTTGAAATTTTTTGGCTTCTATTTGTGTGTCGTCTCCTATCAAGAGGATTTGGGTGGGTGGATTTGGGGGGGGGGGGGGTAGCGATAACTCTTTTTTTATCTTTTTTTCCTAGGGGAATATTGTCTTTTTGGTCGGGAAGTAGTTTGTGGCAATGCTAATGGTGGGAGTTGGTGATGGATGAGTGTTATGCGGGAGATCTAAGTAGTAATGGTGTTTTGAAGGATCGATAAGGCTTTGCTTCCGATAAATCTACAAGAATTTTTGTAGCGGCGATAACTCTTTCTTATCTTTTTTTCCTAGGGGAATATTGTCTTTTTGGTCGGGAAGTAGTTTGTGGCAATGCTAATGGTGGGAGTTGGTGATGGATGAGTGTTATGCGGGAGATATAAGTAGTAATGGTGTTTTGAAGGATCGATAAGGCTTTGCTTCCGATAAATCTACAAGAATTTTTGTATGTAGTGTAGTTAAAGGTCAGATTTCAAAAGTAATTTTAGAGAGTTTTGGATGAGTTTTACACCAATAGTGGCCGACACATGAGGGCTTTGTGGATAAGTTCATTCTTATCTTTTTTTTCCTCCTACTGGAGAAAGGGACTATTGCCTTTTTGGTCCGGCCGAAAGTAATTCTGTGGCAATGGAATGGTGGGAGTTGGACAAGGCCTTATTTTTAAATTTTTTTTTCTTATTTTTAATTGTTGTTCTCCTAGTGGAGAAATGGAATGTTGCCTAGTTTTGTCCGAAGATAGTTTTGTGGTGATGGTAATGGTGGCATGGGAGTTGGTGATGGAGAAATATTAGGTGGAAGATCTAAAGAGTAACGGTATTTTGAAAGTTGGACAATGCTTTGTTGGCGATCTACAAGTTCTTGTATGTGGTTAACGGATTTCAAAAGTGAATTAGGAAATTGTGGAGGAGTTTTATGCTAATAGGGGATAACACTAAAAACTTTAGAGAGAGAGTTAGTTCTTTCCCCTCTCTATAGAGGCCCTGTGTCATCTGCTATCAAGAGGATTTGGGTGGGTGGATGGGGGGATAACTTTTTCTCCAAGGCCGTTCCATTAAAAATAGGGGTCATGTCTAATAGTTTAATATGAACCTTCATCTTTTTTTTTTTTTTTTTTGTTTTGTTTATTCTAAGATGCAATCTAAATATAATAAAGTAAACTGCAAAGAGAAAGACAATAATATTGAGACAAGAACATAGGGGGAGAGAGAGAATTTTTAAATATTTAAATTTCGCTATAGTGATAGAGATTTCTATTTATAAATGTAAGAAACATGATCTCAAAAGACCTTAAAAGATAGAGATAGAAGTCTAGAAGATATAGAAAATCTCCTGAGATAATTGAGTTCAAATCTATTTGGCCTCCAAGTTATTATATTCTATAACAAAAATAAAAATGCAATTAAATTTTTTTGTCCAAATATATTGCATAAAAAATTAAAAAAGAAATAATACAATTCAAAAGTTAATATAAAAGTGCAATTTTTCAATCATATTTAAATACAAAATTTTTCATCAAATTTCGATGCCAATTGCTTCTAATATTTTATTTTCAATTACAATTAAGACCAATCTATAAATTAAAAAAATAATTATTAGTATAAAAAATAATAGATTATATGTAAAATATTTTTTAACAAAATTGAACCCCCAAAAATTGGGGGCCTTGTGCGGTGGCAAAACATGGCAGGGATCGGCCCTATTTTTTCCCCTCCTAGTGGAGAAGGGGAATGTTGTCTTTGCTACCAATACGTCAATGTGGAGGTGTTTTTATTTTTAATTTTTTAATTTTTTATTTTTGTTCTCCTAGTGGAGAAATGTAATGTTGCCATTTTTGTCCGAAGGTAGTTTTGCGGTGATAAAGAAATATTAAGTGGAAGATCTAAAGAGTAATGGTATTTTGAAAGTTGGAAAATGTTTGTTGGCGATGGATCTATATATAAATTCTTGTATGTGGTTCAGGGATTTCAAAAGTGAATTAGGGGATTGTGGAGGAGTTTTATGTTAACAGGGGCTGACTCAAGAAACAATGGAGATGACTAAAAACTTTAGAGGGAGAGTTAGTTCTTTCCCCTCTATATAGGCTTTTTTTTTTCTTGAAATTTTTTGGCTTCTATTTGTGTGTCGTCTCCCATCAAGAGGATTTGGGTGGGTGGGTGGGTGGGTGGATTTGGTGATGGATCTACGAATTTTTATATCTAATTAAGGGGTTTCAAAAGTGAACTTACGGAGTAATGGAGGAGTTTTACAACAATAGTGGTTGACACATGAAACAACGATTATGACTATGAACTTTAGAACTAAGCTAATCTTACCCCCCCCCCCCCCCTCCCCCACCTGTGCGGGTACCAAGAGGGCTTTGGGGAGGGCAGCAACTCGTTCTTATAAAGTAGTTTTGTGATAATGGTAATGTTGGGAGTTGGTGATAGGTGAGTATTAGGTGGGAGATCTAAGGAGTAATGATGTTATGAAAGTTGGACAAGGCTTTGCTGGTGATGAATCTACAAATTCTTGTTTGTGATTAAGGGGTTTCAAAAGTGAATTTAGGTGGTAGTGGAGGAGTTTCACACCAATAGTGGTTGACACATGAAACAATGGTGACTACAAACTTTATAAGTCCGTTGAAGTAACTGCAGCAGCCAAACAAAGGTGTTACATATGCTTAAGCAAGAACCTAGGGTTTGCGAATAAGTGGGTCTAGTTTTCTGTTTTAGTATAATTTTATTTTGTATTTTTTGGTTTTTTTTTTTCTTTTTATGAATTTTAAAGTTGTTGGACTTTTTTCTATCATTTTAAATGTGTTGTGCTTTTAATTATATTTTAAATGTGTTGTGCTTTTAATTATGTTTGAAACATTATTGTTAATGCATCCTTTTATAGTAAGCAAATCTATTATTTGCAATGTATGCTTTCACGGTTAACAAATCTATTATATGCTTAACTCAAATGACAAATGAATTGCTAATACAATTATTAAATTTGAAGCTTGACGCGACTCAATATGTATCCCAACTCTAAAATGGCTCTATGGTCAAGTCCTAAATGCATTAGGTTCCATAATCTCACCTATAGCCCAACGATGGATCATTTCATAATAAACCATTCTTCTACCGTTTGCATTCCTTCAATGGATCATTTCATAGTAAACCATTCTTCTTCCTTTTGCATCCCTTTCTTAGTTTCTCCCCTTTTAATCTTGTCTATCTTAATTTCATGTTCTTTATACTTTATGAAGCACAAACTTTAAAATTTTGAAAATCTTAAGCATACCACCCCATTGGATAGAGAAGAAAGAAAGACAACAATTTTGCCCCTTAAAACCCGAATTCATAATGGCAATATTTCAAGTACAAAATTTACATCAGACCTAAGTATGAGCAATATTAAAGAAATAATTTGCATGGTGGTCATCAGCATTTTTCTTTTTCCTTCCAAAGATGTGTTGATTGCTGCAGCTTCAAGCTTCTCTGACTTAACTCCATTCAGGTGCAAAATTGTGGGTTTAATGCTAGGTAACAAAGCGTGAGATACAAGAATCGGTAATGGAAAATGAAATGCCAAAACATTATTTAGCATTAAAAGTTATAAATCGAAAGAAAAGGACATAAAATAGGGATATGTTATTCCAATCCGAACCAACCTATTCCGTGAACTAAACATGTTATAATATACCTTTTACAAATATGCAATGCACAAAGAGGTAACCAACAATAAAATATTCTACATTCTTGGAATCCTAAAATGGATGTGCTTGAAATTATGTTAACTCCTAAAACATAAGACCCTAAACTTGATTAGGGGAGAGAGCTTAATGCTCATAGCATTCAATATCAGTGATGTTGCACAAAGCTTGTTAAGATCTTCCAGTTTCTTTGAAATAACAATTGACAGTGATGCCCAATTGTTTAAACATGCTAACATGTGGTCAGAATATCAGGTAACTGTCTCTGGACTATACAAAACATCAGAATGAAATCATAAAATACAAATGAGTGAAAGAACAAACCTGAACAACCTGTCCAGCATGATCATAGACTAAATTCATCCAACAAAGCCCCAAGTTCCACACTATCTCTTCCTCTCTGCCAATAAGGGAAATATTACCCCCCCCCCCCCCCCCCCCCCTTCACTCCAAAACATCATTGTTCACCTAAACAACCAAAAAATCACTTCAAAATCCATATTCCCCCAAAAATCAAATCTCAATCAAGGAAGAAATTAACATGAAGGATAATTATATAAATAAAATGAGGAAAATGCATATTTAGTTGTAAATTTTACACAATGATTCAAGAAGAGAATGCAAACTCCACGCATGATGTCGAGCTGCTTGAGAGTGCGAAAATAATGAAGAAAAAGAAGTACCATGATATGCCTGAAGAGCATTTAACAACGAAAATAAAGGAATTTTTAGAGGGTGGTAAGCATTTCATTGTCATGGATGATGTGTGGACCACAAGACTAGAAATATTTGAAAAATGTTTTTCTCAATAACATCAGAGGGAGTAGAATCTCTTAATAACTCGGCATGAGAATGTAGCTATATATGCAGATTCTGCTTGTAAGTCACACACTCTTTAAAATTTTAAAGAAATGATGAAAGTTGGAAGTTACTAGAAGAAGGTTTTTCTCAAGGAAAGTTGTCCTTTTGAGCTAAAAGAGGGCAGAAACATATAGCTATAAAGTGCAATGGATTACCACTTGCAATAGCAATTGTTGCTAGTGTATTGGACAAAGACACCAACAATCACTACTTCTGCAAGTGGGAGTCCACTGCATTTTATAGCAATGCATTTCCGTCACTCTCAAGCTCAATAAAGCAACTTTCATTGATAAAACCCTTCCTCTTTAGTAACTTCCAACTATCCTCATTTCTTACAAATTTTGAAGGGTGCAGTTTACGAGAAGGTATCTGCGTATAGCTGCATGCCCATGCTAAGTTGTGAAGAGGACTCTATTGCTTCCCATTTTGTTGGAGAAAACAAATTTCAAGTAATTCCTGTCTTACTTGGTCTACACATCATCCACAACAACAAAATACTTCCAACCTTTGAAGCCTCCTTTATTAGCTATCTGTGCTATTCAAACACATCATGATATTCTTTGTTCTTCTTGGTAATGTTACTCTCAAGATGTTGATTAATTTCTGCCCTTGAAACATACATCCAAAGGTGAGTTCACAACAATCCTTTATAGTTTTTGCCCCTCTATCAAACCCCATCACATCATCTTCTTCCTTCCACCACACAACAGGAGCCCTGTATTCAAGAAAATTAAGTCTGAGGAAAAATGAAAGATTGAAAAATGGCACAATTTCTTTAAGATGTTACCGTTATCCACACAATAAAAATCAAAATGAAGTTAATAATGGGAAGATTCACTAGAAAAATCCCTTCGAACTTTATGTAATGATTATAAGCTAGTTTAATTTAACACTTCATCTTATGCTTATCAACATTTTTTTGAGCATGATTGCTAGGCTTTATGTCAATCTGTAAACTACAAATAGTTTCAAAATCCATACTCGAATCATATCCAGCAAACTATAAACAATTGGAAATAAATTACTTGAATAAATAAAATAATTAAACACCCAAATTGCACACTCATTACTAGTGAACTAACAACCAGTTTTGAAACTAATAATCTAATTAAAATTCCATATTGAGCTTTTCAAAGTATAAATTCCAGATTGACATAAAAGATCGATTATTGAGGTATTTGAATCTTGTGATACCTTTCTTTGGAGGGAGTTAGGGTTAAGTCCGATTGGCCTAACGCTAGCACTGTGCTCTCTTCTAATCTTGGGCATCTTTCCCGATCGGCCTCGATCTCCTTCGCAGCATCGGCCTTTGACTAATAAAAAACTTCGGAGCGGAGAAAATGAAAATATTGAAGAATAAAAACTGTAAATTTTGAGGATTCAAACTTGAGAGGCTGAGGGAGAGAGAGAGAGAGAGAGTGAGAGATAAGAGATTTGTGTTGAGTTGTTGACTGCGGACCCTAAAAGGCAAAAACCGCCCCGATTTTTTTTTTTTTTTTTTTTTTTTAACTCAGTTTAAATTATACACAGAGCATTAATTGGAAAAAGTTTTTTTCTTTTTCCTTCTTCTTTTTTTTTTTTTTTTTAATCCGTCCATCTGATCGGATTTCGGATTGTATTTTACCAATCCAATCTGTTATTTTTTGTACTTAAAAACCTATCAGATGTCGAATTTTACGGATCGGATTTCGGATTTCAAAAGTCATTAATAATTGAATAAGTGAAATAAAATATTACTTTAGTTTAAAATATTGTTATACTCTAAGTCTCCATTAACAAAATAAGTAATAACTAACAGGGCGTTTGGTTGGACGGGGGGAATTATGTGGGAAAGGAATTGTAATTCTATGAGAGTTGAATTACTGGGAATAAAGTGGAATTTAAATTCCAGTGTTTGGTTGACATGAATAGAATTACTGGGAATTTCAATTCCAATTTTTGGTATACATGGGAATTGAAAGGGAATAAGTAGTATAAAGTCCAAAATGCACATTGTTGTTGTTAAAAGGAAATATCAGACATTCATTTTAGGTTGAAAAAGAGAAGGGTAATTTTGTCTCATCAGTATTTTTTTTCTTCCTAAAATCTCAGGAATTAAAATACTAGGGGGGGACATGGGACTTTAATTCCATGAAAATGGGGGAATTACAATTTCATCCAACCAAACTACGGAATTTAATGGCCTTTGGAATTAGGTGGAAATTAAGTGGGAAGGGAATTTAAAATCCCTCCAACCAAACGCCCTGTAATAAGTAAACAAAATAAAACAAGCAACAACTTAATAATTTTCAGAGCTAAAGAACAAAAACATAAAACATATAATAATTTAATTGAACAAATTGCACTTTTGGTCCTGTGACTATTAGGGTATTGATAATTTGAGTACGTGACTTTCAAAACTCTCAATTTAAACCTTTAATTACGCAATTATTAGCAGATTTGGTCCTGCCGGCCAAATTGCCGGCCAATTTTGGCCGAAAAAATGTAATTCTTTTAAAATTATTTATTTATAAGGGCAAAATGGTCATTTAACGTCATTCTTCTTCTTCTTCTTCTTCTTGCCTCTGCGGCAACCACCATTTGGGTCTCTAAATTCTAATGCCAAATCAAGCGACTGAAGCACGTCAAGGGGTGGAAGATACATCGCCTGGACGCCACGGAGGCGTTCCTAAAGCGCGGTGGCAGAGAAGCGAATCAAGCGTGGGAGAATCTCGTGGTGGCGCCTGGCGCCGCCATCCTCAACAGATTCTTGTACAGCCATGCTAGCTCTGGCTCCTTGTTTTTGACCGCCGACAACCTTCTCATCCCACCTGCCGCCGTTCGACCCACCGTTGCCGCAGCTGCAATTCACTAGATCCATAAAATCAAATTAATGAGGGGAGCGGCCTCCTTCTTGATTTGAGTCTTTTGTCGGTTTGATCACAAGACGGGATGAAATTTATCAGTACACACACTCGGATCATCAATCAAATTAAGCATAATTCAATAACCTGCCGTAACACACTGTGTAATCTTCATATATAATTTCCACCATTAAACAAAAAGCTAAGCATAATCAATACATAATAATTTCTTTGGGTTCTCCAATGTCCATTTTTACTACGGATAAAAGGTTAAATTAGAACACCAATAAAAAGTAATCGAAGAAAGTAAATTAAGGAAGATCAGAAGGGAATTCCATTCAACACTTATGATTTTCCAGTTACATACACAACAGACAGAGAGTATAAAGTCTGGAACAGGAATGGTGCTGAGTGTATATCCATGGATTCTATCTTTTAATTTGCTGCTACAGAAGTGTCACTAGGAAGAAGGGGAATGGGGTCAAGCACTGATGATCATGACAGAAGTTTCTGATAAAATTCACCTGGAAACTCCACGCGATTGGGCGACACAAATGCTCGATCCGATTGATCAATCTCTCTCACACCTAAAATCATAATTTGAAGGCGAAAATCTGCGCAGATAGTCAACCATTCCCAGAAAAAGATAGATAAGCTGGATCGATCGGATCGGAATAAAATCTATCTATCATTCATTGAAATGTTATGACCACTACGCTTTTCAATCACTTTCGTTCGTTCTGCAATTGATGCGCCAGATCGAATGAAGCAGCTGATGTCTTTTCATTTCTCCGTGGAGTTGCCATGTCTGGCGGCTGCTCTGCTCTGCTTTTCCGCAGACGCAAGAAGAAGAAGAAGAATGACGTTAAAGGACCATTTTGCCCTTATAAATAAATAATTTTAAAAGAATTACATTTTTCCGGCCAAAATGGGCCGGCAGGACCAAATCTGCTAATAATTGCGTAGTTAAAGGTTTAAATTGAAAGTTTTGAAAGTCACGTACTCAAATTATCAGTACCCTAATAGTCACATGACCAAAAGTGCAATTTGTTCTAATTTAATTTTACAACAAAAATTGCAAAAGGAAACAAAAATACAAAATTAATCTAAGTTTAAGTGTTTAACTTCCAAAAAAAAAAAAAAAAAAAAAAAGTTAATCACTTAAACTTCAGCAATCATTCCAATCAACATCTTTAGTTCTTTACAGCAAATCTGCTGACAGCAAACAGCATTTATACACTTCTTCCTGTTAATATCAAAACTTAAAACAATATTAGGCAACATATTAACTATTAAGTAAACAGCTGACTAAGTAACAATATTATGTTGTAGGGGCATTATGCTAATAGCCTTATAGGCTCAGATTGCAATTTTCCATTTCAAGTAATGATAGGGGCAAGTTGCTCAAATGTATTATAATAGAACATGAGCAACATAGCAACACCTACCATTTGTTCAGACAAAGGTGGAAGCATCATCATAGCCAGCCAAATAAATAATAATGCATTAAAGGAATACAAAGGTGGAAGCATCATCAGAGGATTAGAGATTTAGAGGAATACCAGAAATCCAGAATGGAAGAAATGGGTCATCAGTACTCAGTAGACAGTAGTGCTCAACTCAAGTACTCAACTCATCTAAGTGCGGCAACATTTCCATAATAGAATTATAGAGAGTTGTCAAGCCTCTTAGACAGTTAGACTCTTAAAGTTTAATCTTGTGAAGGCCAACAACAAACAACAGTACAACAACCTAACAGATAAAGATAAGTAATTAGTTAAACACATTACAGGAATGGATGGCAGCATTGATGATAGAGTAGATGCAGCTCCAGTGGGCAACTCTGCAAAACAGATAAGGATAAGTAATTAGTTAAAACTTACAAGTTACAAAAGTAAAAAACAAATGGGAATGATAAATGTATACATATGGTCTTACCTTTCTCCAATCTTTCAGCCTCATCTAAATTCTCCTCAAGTGTGATTGGCTGATTATGTAACATCAACCAATCTTGTGTACAGAGTAGGGCTTCCACTATTTTAGGTGTCAAGGAACTCCTAAATGCATCAAGCACCCTTCCACTTGTACTAAATGCACTCTCATATGCAACTGTGGAAATAGAAATACAAGCACATCTCTAGCCATTTTGGAGAGAATAGGAAATCTCTCACTATGACTCTTCCACCACTTTAAAACATCAAAACTCAAAGATTCATCATCCTCAACCAGATTTTCACTCATGTAAATTTGTTGCTCTGTCTGCTTACTGCTTCCACCACCACTCTCCAGTCTCTTCTTTTAAGTTCACTCTTCATCCTTGACACAGGTCTAGCAACTGTACAACTAGTAGCTGAGACTGGACAGGTTGGTTAGAGGATGAAATGTCAAAGTATGTAGCTGCATAGTCATTATACAATGCAAACATTGCAGATTGGACCTTGGCAAAACAAGCTTTGCCTTTGACATCTCCATACAACTGGACAAACTAGTGAGGCATGTATACCTCCTTATCTCTTGGGTCCAGAATATTGACAAAGAAAATGAGATGGTCCATTTTTTTCTGGATCTCCCCAGTACTTATCAAACTTGTCTTTCATTTTTGTCCCCATTGCATATTAAACAAATAAACACAAATAAAAAGTTAAAAACAGTTACAAGTTAAACAAATAAACACAAGGGTTTTACCTTTTCAGTATTCTCATATCTTCCAGCATGCAACTGAGATCAGAGATCTAAGAGAAGAATGTGTTAGAAGTGACATAAAGAGAACCAGATATTCTCACTGTCATTTCATAAAAAGTTTTCAAAAGCTTCATTAAGCTTTCAACAGTCTGCCAATCCAGGAAAGAAGGAGCAGAACCCAAGTCAGCAGAAAAAGATGGATCATTTTGATGATATGCATCAAAGACCTTTTGATATTGAATTGCAGTGTTGAGCATAATGTAGATGATGTTCCACCTTGTAGGGACATCAAGCTGCAAAGCTGTTTTGGCTTCCACCCCAATGAGTTTAGCAAGCTCTCTGAACTTATTCAACATAGCAGGTGAGTTCCTAACCCATCTCACTGCATCCCTCACCCTTTTTACTGACTCATCTGCAAACCTCAAGCCATCTTGAACCACTAAGTTTAGGATATGAGCTATACACCTCATGTCCATATACTGCAACCTAACAGAAGAAGAACCCCAAGACAACAACTTGCTTTAAAAAAATCCCAAAGCTGTATCAGTAGAAGAAGCATTGTCCACAGTCACAGTGAACACGTTTTTAATCCCCCACTCTAACAGACAAGTCTGTAAGGCTTTGGCAATATACTCCCCCCTATGAGAAGAAACATTGACAAAGGAAATTATTTTTTTTCTAAAGCTTCTACTAATCATCAATAAAATGTGCAGTAATGCACATATAATTAATCCTCTGGACAGAAGTCCATGTATCAGTGGTTAAACTGACCCTTTGGGTGCCCACCCTAAACAACTTCTTAAGACTCAGCCTCTCATTTAGGAAAAATTGGTAGATATCCCTAGAAATAGTCCACCTAGAAGGAATCTGAAACCTAGGACAAGCTACAAGAATAAACTTCTTGAACCCCTG